GAGTTATATAAAGAACCATTTCATGCTTAAATGTTTCTATATAGAACCAGGAGTTATATAAAGAACCATTTCATGCTTAAATGTTTCTATATAGCACCAAAAAAGTTCTGCTCTTGTTACAGTGTCAAGTTTATAATCCATGTAATCTATTCCAATCCATTTCACCATGCAAAGAACCATGAACGGTTTAAGCATGCAAATGGTTCTTGGAGTGTTCATAGTTCTGTATGGAACCATTCCTTTTACTAAAGATCCCTTAAAAACATCTTTTTAAAGTGTGTACACTCTTAAAAAGGATGGTTCTTCAAGTGTTCTTTAGTAAAGAAAATGCTTCTATATAGAACCATGGACACTTTGCCTGGTGAAATGGTTCTTCAGATTGACAGAGAATATGCTGTAGATGGTTCTATATAGAACCTTTTTGAAAAAGGTTCTGTATAGAACCAAAAAGGATTCCGCTGTTGTGGAAGCCAAAGAACCCATTTTTGGTACTATATAGAACCCTTTTTGCTAGGAGTGTACAAACTTAAAAAACAAAAGAGAAAGAAAATGGTTATAGATAGAACCATGAACACTCAAAGAACCCTTCGCATGATTAAAGAGTTCTTTACACCGTGAAAGTTTCTTCAGCTTGATGGCAGATGTGCTGTATATGGTTCTCATTTTTTTTTTTTAATTAGTTTCATTTTGCTGCTTGCAATTTGTGCAGAAAGTCAATGTAGATATAACGAGTGCTGAGAAGTGGCAGCATTCCTCTTTAAAGCATTATCACCTCCTCCTTGACTTACAGAGTCCTTGGGTGTCTTGAGAGGCGCTCATCAAATAAAATGTTATTATTATATTATTATTATTATTATTATTATTATTATTATTATTATCACCTCCTCCTTGATTGATTCTCTGTAGGGGATGTGTAACTTTTTTCACCTAGAAAATCAACAAAACACATCATTTGAGCAGGGGCGCCCAAGCCGTTGCATACAACTGCACACTGGCAAATTTTCTGAAATTTCTTCTTTTGTAAATGATGAAAATGATGAAAATGTTTGAGTTGCCACACGTCCAGCGTTTTCCTGGATTTTAGTTGTCTGTCCAGGAAAAAATGAATTTCATTTCTGGATACAAAACGTTCAGAAATCTAAGGATTTTCATATTTAGAATTTTCAACTGCTTTTTAAACTTAAACACCAGTGAAACTATTTGTATAGATAGGATGGGTTTGGTTGGTTCAGATAAGGACAGTTGTTTAGGAAGGTGCGCCGACATGTTTAGCCACTAGGCAGCACTTCAAAGCAATAACTGAGAAGATGATGTTCTACAACTGAACTGACATCTATCTACATAGACTGCATCGTGAACACAGCTCCCCATCCAGTAATCAGAATCTAGTAAGAAATCAAGACATAAGGCCAAGTTGGCAACCCCTGTAAACCCTGATACGCTTAGCTTACTCAAACCATTTGAGATAACTTGTAGCCTCAATTTTGACACTCATTTTTTGTTGTCTGAAATTATACCTGGAGTTGAATACGTGCAAACATTTAAGTTTAACAAAAACAGCCCAAGTACACATCACACAAACTAATCTGCTGCAGAAACTTGAGCTTAAGTACAGCTACTATATTATATAATGTCCTCATTTTTAACACCAACATAATTGCAATGATCACAAACTTAAATCAGTTTCAAGTGTTTTTCATAGTTACATAACAGCCTTTAGAAAAACTAAAACTAACTAAGCAGAGGCGCTAAACACATTCATGGCTACGATAACCAATTCAGATAAAGTGCATCTAAACTTAATATATTTAACCTATATGTAATATCTGAATGTGCTGTTTGTTTGAAAACAACATCTGACAGAAAAATAAGAGCTCATAAACAGAGATCGACTAACCTGCTAGGAATTCTGGGTGACTCCGCCCTGTACTCTCTTATTGCTTCTCTTTTTGAGTCTATTGTTCTCACAGAAACAAGTGCACTTGAATTTTCCATCGGACAGTACAAGGATGGATTGAGACAGCAGCTAATTGCAAGAAAACAAGCAATTATAACAATTATTTTAGATACAAATGTCCAGGCATTCATTGGAGATTAAATAAACATTATGCATCCCACCAATGCATTGTCTCAAAGAGAAGAACAGTCTTAGCAAGTTGTTGCCCACTTTTACTGAGTTCGGAAATGTGTTACGAGTGTGCACTTGAGCAAAACCACAAACTGCATGTCACTACTGTTGCAGAATGATGAGTGTATCTATAATGTTAGAAAACAAAATCCATATTACATATACAGCTCTTGATTTCCAAAGTGATGAATATGATTATTGGACCATTTCAACCCTTTCAAACATGAAAACCTGCTTTAACCGATTTATCTTTCCAGCTTTTAATCTCAGTGTGAGTATCTTTTCTAGGGGGCGCTGTTTGCCATTGTGAGTTGAAGCATTTATTTGACTACGTTCATGAAGGTTCATCTGAAAGCTCTGAGAGCTCCCTCACAAAGTTATTAGATGAAGTGATTAGATACGTGCTGCCTGGTGTCTGACACATTGTCTTATAATAGTTTGGTGATAAACTTTTGGCTTAAAATGTATTTTAATCCATTTATTTTAATCAAGTTATGGCCTTGGGGTACATGCAGGGCAAAATAGTCCCCAAAGAAAACTTGTGCTGTAAGTTTCTCTACAAGGAACCATTTCACATCAAACCACCGTGGACTGAAGGACTGACCCTGCAGAAAAAGGACCATTAGAAACTATTTGGATTAAAACCTAATGGTTTTGCTATTTACTGGGAATTGGCTTTATGGTTTTCAAAAGAGACAATAGCTTTGCTGTATAATACCTTTAGGTCCCTTTAGGAAACCATCAAATACTTTTAGAATCAGCCATCCCCCCGTTAAACCATTAGAAGTCTTTATATTATGATATCAACCCATTAAAAAAATGGAAAAAATTGGAAAATTTTGGAAATTTGGAAAAATTGGTGGAATTCCCCTTTAAGCTGGACTGAGCTAAAACTGTTCACCTTAATGTCAATGTATGTAGCTAGTTCTACCAGCTAACGCTGAAGCTTTTCGGTCAGTTGACTAAAGTTGTTGCTATGAAACAAACATAGAGCATCCTGAAATATAGAGGATCATTAAGGTTAGTGGTGCTCACGTCTCTAATGTGAGACGTTGGACAATAGCCAGAAAATTAGATTGCTGTTTTGTAGCAAACAAAGCATCCCAGGAAACCCTATAAAACATTAAAAAAAATATTTGTATGATACTAAACTTGAGTGTTATATTAAGCATCCAGCACAGTTTGAATGAAAAAATATAAAACACCTACCTTTTTCCTTCTCCATGATGCTCTGAGTGACTTCTGGACAGAACTTCCGCTGAAGCGTCACCAGCATATATGCTGTATGCTTACGTCATCCTAACATGATAGAAATGTGGGAATAAATAAACATTACTAATCTTTATTGTTGGGATGCTAGAACGCTTGTGTGCTGATGTTTGTAGTTATCTTAATCGATCTGTGAACAGAACCTGAACCTGTGTGAGAGAAAAGCTTTAGTCATAGGATCTCATTTACAGTCTATACGAATGACTGATAAAGTCATTTCATTACCAATGTTTAAATGTGTTTACGCTGAGCGTCAGGAACAGACAGAGAACCATAAAGCTGTGCCATTACAGCAATGTCTAATGTAGAAATCTGTTTTTTAAACCAGCACTTTACTAATGCGCTAGTTTAAAATAATAATAATAATAATAATAATAATAATAATAATGCTCCTTGTTTGTTTACCACGGTAGGTAGCTATGTTAGCATCAAGCTAGCTGGGTTAGTTCTGCACTATTTTGAATTTTTATGTCAGCTCTAGTTTAAAAACAGACATTTTAAGCATGTGACAAGTATGTAAGCAACATTTTTACTTTGTATGTCTCAGTTTTAAAGTATTGCTTAATTTAAAGACTTATATATAACTTACAATAAAAAACAGACTTCAAGTTCAAGCAAGCTAGCTTCCTGCTAACAGCCTACCAGTGAGGGCAGAATCTGTTTATAAACAGAATATGACAAATAAAAAAGTTAAAGCGAGTCTGTTTGGAATAAACAGTGATATTTACCTGGCCGTTTATCATCTGGCTGCATTTGATGGACACAGATTTTAACACTAACAACGTGGCTTTTTCAAGGAGTCATTATGAAGCCACATTTAAGCTAAGCTAGTTAGCTAATGCTATATGTCTGTCGAAGTTGTGTTGTTGATGCTTGTAGTAACGTTACTGCTGTTTTCGCTGTAATTTCATCTTCACTCGGCTGCACTGACAGCCACTAACTGCACATTGTCCCAGAACCACTCAGGGACATTTAATTAGACAAAAAAGAATAACTTAAAAACAAGCACACTTTATTTAATTCTGCTAAACATAATAACGAACAACACTTCGTTCTCCAACTGGATATTTCAGCCATAAAGTCTAGCTCTCTAAGTTTCTCGGACTCTGAATTAGCCCCGTGATTGGTCAAGGGAAAGCTTACGGAAGCCTTACCTGTGATTAGGTCCACCCAGTTTACACCAACAGGAGAGAAACATGGTGAAATATGTCGGTCATTTATTGGTCAGTGGAGCATTATTCAAAGGGTTTACATAGTACATGTTTACTGTTTGCCTATAATACCAAGATTAACCTAATTAGAAAGAAACACAGATTTAGGTTCCCTGGGTCTTTAATGCTTTGGTGAAAGTAAAATGCCTTGTTTTTAGATCTCCTTTTTTTAAAAATAAATAAATAAATAAATACTCCTCCAGAAAAAGATGCCAAGCTCTCTACAGTGGTGGGGCCATTATTCCTGATTAGTAGTATCGACACATCCTTCACATGTAGGCGCTAAATCTATAAATGTGTACCGTCTTATTAAACCGTCTGTAAAATGCGTCGATAGTAGGCGCCCTACCTTTAAGGCGTAGTGAGCGAGTGAACCACTGCGCCGTTGGGAACACAGCCCCGTGTATGAGCGGGCTGCGCACCAACCAGTCAGTCAGGAAGAGGGTCCAGGCAGTGATGCGCAGCCGAAAACTGACACGTCCTTAAGGTAACGTCCCGCGCGGCTAGCCAGCATTTTACTGACACCATCTCTTGTGGGGTTTTAAATCACCACCTTATGAAGCGAACCCTGTGAACGAGCATTTCTGTGACGGGCCACATACTCAGATAAAACCCCGGAGGCTGAGATAGCCTAGCTGGACTAGGCTACGGAAAGCCATTCATTCAGCTGTTAGCTAGCGAGCTAGCAACCATAGCTAGCTACGTGACATATGTTGTATTAGAATTGATTAGAATTAAGTCTGTATTTTCGACAGACAGGTGTCAGCTACCTTTTGTAACGAGAGGTTGTCACTTGTCACACATTTGTTTTGAGAACACCCAGGTTAGCTTAGCTAGTTAGCTCGCTGCTGCCGCTCTTGCTTGTTATAAAGCAGTAGCGTTACCCAGCGCTGCACACTTCAGCACACCTGATTCACCTTAGTGACTCATTAATAAGCCCCTCAGTGAGTGTGTTCGAGCAGGGAAAGCGCTATACGGTGCAGTGAAGTGGGACAGGGAAGCACAGCTTTCTATTTGAAATTTTCCGTTCCACCTTAAATGGTGCAGGAGTTACATTGTGGCTCCTCAGGCCTGAATAGGTGCCAGAACGTAGCTGCTGCCCCGTTTAAGGTGGAACGGAAGAATTAGAACAGGAAGCCAGTTTAAGCTTCATTGCTGTAAGGTGGAAGGTGTCTCCCAGGTGTAGCCCACATGCACTAAGCCATCGTTTCTTGTTTTTTCTGCACCTGAGGAAAATCATTAATTGGGAGACACTGGTGTAGCCTTGTCCTTAGAGTCCTGTCATAGTTACAGGAAGTTAATTTATGTACAAACAAAAGAAGCACATACATTAAACAAAAGCTAAATGCCCTGGTTTCACCATTGATTTTTTATATTACATGTGACCCTTCGTCTGTATTGTTTGTAGCAGGCTGCTGTGTCATGCCTGGTCACCAGCAAGGAGCAAGTTAGGGCACTATCATGGTACCCTGGCCTTAACTTACTGAAAGCATCATGTGTTGTACTCAAGTGTGTTGGTCACAGTGTTACAAGCTTTGGTGCAATAGTATTCGACTCAAAGTGTTGGGGACCTACTGCGCCGTCTTTTATGTATATGTGTATATGTATATATAATCATGCAATCGTCCAGCTTATCTGATGTCAGGCCACCATTCTTAAAGATTGCTTAACATACCTGGCAAGAATTACACACGTCAGTCAGTTCCCTGCTGTCCTGCCATTTGCAGTGGTAATGCAAAAATTAACAACTGGTCATGAAAGTTACACATTCTTTTAGGTACACCTGCAATAAGGTGCCTTCAGTAAAATGGCTGTGTGCCATTCATATTGCTCCCTCTAGTGGACAGCACCTCAATTGAGCAGGTTTGTTTAAGGCTCATTTTGACGTCCATCTTACACTTACACTGATGTTTTGAATATTTGACAGCATTTTTACAAATAAAACGATAGAAGAGATGTTAGTCCTGTCTTTTACTGGAATACCAGTTGCACGTTTGTATAGCATTGGAGAGATTGTCTTGAATTTATGCACTAAAATGTCACATTTCAGTTATATGTTACCTATTCATTCACTCAAAAAGCTTCCCCACTTGTTTGAACCAGTAGTTCCATAATTCTTAACCAAGCTCTACAATTCAATTACAGACAGGTCAGGGAAGGACAAGGGAAGGATGGGAAGGCAAAGGAAGAGGAATGTGACAGGTGATGGAGTGCCTCACACACGGAAGGAGGAGAAACCCCCGGTCCCAGGCCGCAAGGAAAAGAAAAAGAAGACGGACATTGGAAAAGTTTTCATCAATGTATCCATTGGCTTGTGCATCTTCAGCCTTGTCTGGTTCTTTTATGCCCTTTACATGCGCTCAGCCTTGGCCAAGAGAGTAGTGACCCCGCACCCTGCTCCACGGGTCTTAGACTCCAATAGCACCAGTGCTTCTGTGTCTCCTGAGAGGTATTGGGGCACCTATCGACCCCAGGTGTACTTTGGCATGAAAACAAGAAGTCCAAAGTCTGTTGTCACAGGTAGGGCGTTTACACCAAAAAAAGGTTTAACTTCTATAGCTCAGTTTTTCTTCCCTTACTTTTTCATAACCTTTCCTGTTTAATTTGCATACATTATCATGCATATAATACTTCCTGGTTTTGTACCCCAGTTCCTCTTTTACCTGTTCAACAGCGGTGTGATCATGTCTCTGTTTGTGGTTCCTCAGGGTTGATGTGGATGCGTCAGTTTTCTGAGGTGGACGTGAACCTTAGGCACACATGTGAGCAGGGAGACCGTTTGCAGGGCTATGGCTGGCTGACGCATGATGGACTCAACTTTGGCATCCAGGAGATTCATGACAGCGATTTCACCCTCACGACAGAATTTGTGAAACGAATGGGAGGTGAACACGGGGGTGACTGGACATGGAGGATCACAGCCAAACAGCACGTAAGCCCATTTGAGGAATTTAATTTTATAATTTAATCAAGGTCGTGTCTCATGTGCGACCTAGTTTGGAATTTGACTTTTTGTCATCCACTGGTTATATTCATGCTCTCTCCATGACTCTTCCCAGAGCTCTGCCCCTCAAGCTCCAGTCGTTTCACTGATGTTCTACGTGGCCACAGATACTCAGGGCTCCCTGCAGGCTCACGTGGAGGAGAGGACTCGCCTGAGCTCTGTTACTGGAACTTCAGAGGAACTTGGAAACTTCAAGATCACTTTCCGCAAACCGACTGCAGGAGGGGCTGCTAGTGGCAAATACGCCAGGTACTTCAGCCGATAGCAAGTAATGTTCTTTTCACGTGACCGTATGCATGTGCACAGACATTACAAGAAGTTATTAAGTTACAAATGGCATCTTTGTATTCTGTCACTGACATGTAGAAGGCATTTCAGAGTCAGATTAGTTAGGTGTATGTTAACTTTTCTTTTAATAAAATATGCTCTTGCTAAAACAGAGCTGTCAGCTGACCGTACAAGTAATCAGCATGAAAGTGACTCATTGATTTGATTTTGTGCAGTAGTATTGTGCAAAGAAAACCACAAACAAGTTAACCATAAGCACAATGATTCCTATAAAAACTGGATATTTAAATTGCGCAGATTTTATTAAAAATGGTTTGAGAAAACAAATTTACACAAAAAAAGATGTTTAGTGTCCAAATTGTACTTTTTTAGTTTAGCACTGGAGCTATGATGCCATCATTGCAGACAAACACTAGAAATCAGTAATCGCTATTTTTCGTAAATACCTACCCAAAAATATTCTCAAAACACTCAAACATCAAAGTCTTCACTGAGGTCACACCCACTTGTTGGTGTGGTGTATGACTTTAAGTAACCTATAAAATTTAACAAACATTCATGTGAATCAGGATGCTGCAGGCAGCCACTTTAGACAAAAGGTGTTGTGCAGTAATTTGGCTTTTCTGACTAAATATGTATGTCAAAATATGGAAACAACAGAAATGGCAAATGTAACAGAGCATCTTTATTCCTGAGTGATGTGCATGCACGCAAAGGGGAGCCAGATTCTGCAAGGCACAACGCTGTTGTCTGAAATGAGTAACCTGAGTGTTTGGCTACACAGAGAAATTTTTATTTTTATATTTCTTACCAAGTTATACTGTACCCTAAACCACATCAGCAAGTCCCAGGAACCTTAATGGAGACCTGGATGTGGTTTAAGCGGGTTTGGGGAAGTTTTGAACATGTATAAATGGAAAAGATTCTAAACAATTCCTTTAACATGACTTGGTTTCAATGTAAAACATTTTTTATACACATTACATCACTTCCATAGTGTGCAGGCTTGTGTAAAACCTAAAAATGTATAGTTCTTAAAGTAACCAGGCAAAGTGATAATTCTGAAACTTCTGACTCTATGAAGTTGTTCTCCATTTCTTTTATCTGAGACTGTAGGCTGCTTTGTCGATCTTCATATTGAAGTAATGATCTGTGTAGAGTCAGGTGATAATTTTGTGTCAGCCAGATAGATGGCCTGACTGCAAGGTCCAAATGGACCAGAAACCAGTGGAGTAAAAGGAAAAGATAGCAGAGGACAAGCATGTTTATTTTAACAAGCCTTGCTCTGTCTGTTTTCCTCAGCTACAATTACTTGCAGACGCTGAGCCCTGGTCTGGACAGGCTGACTGACATAGTGAAGAACAGCCTGAATCGCAGGTTTGTTTTCCATCCTCCCTCTGGTGAGAGAAGGCCTTACATTGCAGTGGACACCTACAAACCCCCTCCGCACCAGCAACAGCAGAAGGATAACCGCATAGAGAGTGACTTTCTTGTTCACCAAGTTACCGTGCAGACCCCCTTCCAGATTGAAGTTTTGTTTGAGAGTGGCAGCTTTCATGATCGGCCGAACCAACTTGTGGGCTCAGTGCTGACTGAGGAGCTGGAGAAGTGGAAGGTAACTTTTGATGAGAAGTTTGAAAGGACTTTTGGGCTTCAAGCTAAGGGCTTCTCTCCAGCCCAGGTGAAGTTTAGCAAGGCTGCTTTAAGTAACATGCTTGGTGGCATGGGATATTTCTTTGGGCAGTCTGTGGTGCAGTCCGTTTATAATGAGCACCCTTTGCTTTATCCTGAGGGTGTCTTGTTTACTGCAGTGCCCTCCCGTTCCTTTTTCCCAAGAGGCTTCCTGTGGGACGAAGGCTTCCACCAGCTCCTCCTCAGTAAGTGGGACCCGCAAGTCACACGTGAGACTGTAGCGCACTGGCTGGACCTAATCAATGTGGAGGGATGGATCCCACGTGAGCAGATCTTGGGTGACGAGGCACGCAGCAAGGTCCCATCAGAGTTTGTAGTGCAGCGTAATGAGAACGCCAATCCCCCTACCCTCTTCCTGGTCTTGGAGGAGCTTGTTGAGCAGCTGGAGAACCACTCAGATACTCCGCTTTCCCGGGACACTCTGCCTTTCCTCCGAAGGCTGTACCCAAGACTGCAGACGTGGTTTGAATGGTACAACACCACTCAAGTTGGTCCTTTGCCCAACTCCTACCGTTGGCGAGGCAGGGACAAGGACACCAACCTTTTCCTGAACCCTAAGACCTTGACGTCTGGGCTGGATGACTACCCCCGTGCCTCGCACCCTTCTGCAGATGAGAGACACGTTGACTTGCACTGTTGGATGGTGCTAGCATCGGGGGTCATGGCAAGCATGGCCCGACTGCTCGGTGAGCCTCATCAGGAGTACCAGCGCACCCACCTGACCCTTAGTGACAACAACCTTCTGAATGAGCTACACTGGTCCGAGCAGCACCGTGCCTTCTGCGATTACGGCAACCACACCCAAGCTGTGTCGCTGCAGCAAGAGAAAGTCTTTGTGCCTCCTGGACAGCCAAGGCACCAGTTCCCAGTGGCACGCCTGGTGCGCTACGTGCGCAAAGCCCCTAAACTTCAGTATGTGAATGCTCTTGGCTATGTTAGCCTTTTCCCCTTCCTGCTTCACGTACTGACACCGGACTCCCCAAAACTACAGCATATCTTGCGGGACATTCGAGATCCTGACCGCTTGTGGACACCCTATGGCTTGCGCTCGCTTTCTCGTGCTGATCCTCTCTATATGAAGCGCAACACGGAGCACGATGCCCCGTACTGGCGTGGAGCTGTATGGATCAACATCAACTACCTGGCAATAAGGGCACTGCACCACTATGGCAGCACTGAGGGACCTTACAAGGAGGAGGCCGCTGCCCTCTATCAAGAGCTCAGGACTAATGTCATCAGTAATGTTTACAAACAGTACCAGGAAACTGGCTACATCTGGGAACAATACAATGACAGCACTGGCAGGGGACAGGGCAGCCATCCTTTCACGGGCTGGTCAGCTCTGACTGTGCTCGTAATGGCTGAACAGTACTGACTGATCTGCAGATCCAGTGTTCTTAATATCAAATTACTAAACGTGCCATTAATTGTTTCAAGAAACTGTATCTGTGATTGACTAATTGTTTAATTACACGTCAGAAGTATGAAATTTCTCTTCAAGTGCACTCACTGTATGTCATAGAACAAGGTCTTGCTGAAGGGACTATTTTTACAATGATGTTTCGAGGTACTTTTATAAATCAGTCTTTGTACAACATGGATATATTACAGAAACATTTCCCTTTTCAAGCCAGTTTAATGTGACAAGTCAATCCTCAGGTGTGAATTGCCACGGGCTGTGTTGAGTGTTCCAGAATGTGCAGACAAAAGATTTTAATGTAATCGAACGATGATTATGCAGTGCAGTCATTTTGTTTCAGAATTGGGGTGTGTTCAAAGGAATAAATCAATACCTTCCTACAAGGTCTTTCTTCAGTTTAATTGAGTTCTGCATTGAATGCCAAAAATCTTCCACAGCTATTCAAACAAGTTTTGTCATGTTCTTTGAAAAGCGTCCTTCAGGTGTCACAGTGTTTCCCTTTAGAAGCTTGGTAATGTTGACATAAATAATAAATAGTGGTGCCATGGCATTTCAGGAGGTTTTTTAGAACAAGTGCTCAAAGCTCAATCCCAGCAACAATTAGAGAAGCTTTCTAGTTGTTTTCACATACATGCAACCTCAGGACGTCCCATGATGCGCAGTGACTCTAGAGCTCATCTTGTTTCATATAAAATCAGGATAGGGTTGACGGACAAAATTCAGCAAGCGCTTAATAGTACGAAAGCAATTGGCCTGAGCCCAGCCCAGCCCAGCCCATGACATTGTCACACTACGTGGCCAGACGAAGGCCGACGGCTGACGTCAACTGTGCAAGGTGCATTGTTTCTGTTGCACATGGTTTCCATGGAGAGTCTTTGTGGGAAACAGAGGCAGTTCACTGGCTCACGGCGAATTGCCCATGGACGCCGAAGCCAGAAAAGGGGATAGTTCCACATATCCCCTCTTGCTTTGCCCAGAAGCATCTCTTTCGGGTGAACTTTTCCAGCTCTCACTCTTTCCTTTCATACGACGGTGATGTTCACGTGCCCCCGTGCCCGCACCGCAGAGGGAGCGAGGAACCATCTCTTTTATGCCTCAAGTTTGAATAGATGCAGAGGCAGAGCTCGGTGCTGGAAGGTTACAGTGCTATAAATAGGCCTGCTCTCTGGCAGCTGAGCTGCAGCTTTTAAACAGCAAAATAACTGAACGCTCTGTATGCTTCCTGATTTCAATTTATTCAATACAGGCTTAGACACAAACCTGTCCTTTCGAGTCGTTATGTTCAGTTGTAGACAAGCTACAGTACTGTGCAGAAGTCAGAGACCATCTGTCATTTGTTTAATTTCCAGTCAAAACAGCCATTAAGTACAATTTAGTCTTTTTTCAAACGACAATTCTGTGGAGACCATTTGCAAATAAAAGGAAGAAGCTGCTGATGTTCTCAGAACCATGAACTGGCCACCCCAGAGCCCAGATCTCAACATCATTGAATATGTTTGGAATTAGTTGGATCATGAAAAACAGAAAACCAACTTTTGAGACTGAATGTTGGAAGTATAGAAAAATGTTTCTGCAGATTTGTTTATAAAGCTGAAAGCAAGTCTTTTGAGAAGAAAGTCAGCTGTAATAAAGACAAAGTGTGGACAAAACACTGAAAATGTTTTTATATTTATTTGTTGTGTATTTTTATGTTAAATGTATGTTTGCATCTGTGTTTTTCCTGACACTGAAAAATGAATAACTTAGATTTAATGATTTTGACTGAAAATTAAATAAATGAAGAGTGGTCTCTGACTGTGGCACGGAATTGCACATCCTTTTTTCCTGTCATTCCATTCTCTGGTAAAGGCTATCACTTTTACACTGATCATTTTATGTTTTTCCTCTGGAGAACAATGAGCCGACCTTATACAGTGCGAGATTTTCCGTCGAGTACGCTGTGTTGATCGCATAAACTAGAGGCAGGGACGTCACTTTGTGTCCACCCGCCTGTTTGCATCAACAGAGTGCCCTAGGATGATCGATAAATGCTTGACCTTTGCATGAAATAACTATGGAAGGTGTCATGGGAGCGATAACATATAAGCTGATCACACAACAACAATTCACATCCCCTCACTCCTTCACATGGAAACCTGCATCCCCTCGCAGCAAGCCCCCATTTGAAATGCGCATCTCGGCCTTTGTAGTATGTGGCTGATCGGTGTGACTAAAGCACTCATTGCGCAATCCCGCTCCCCTTCCAAAGACCCTTTCTCACCGAGCAATGGGATAATAGCCAAAACAGCATTAGTGGGATCTAACACACAGGCATAAATAGATGAGTCAGAGGGGCTCCATTTACGCATTGATGAGATCCTGAGCCTGTATGCGCTTCTTTTGATCAGAGCAGTTGGGCCATATCTGTATGAGTCATGGCATTGGGGAACTGTCTCCTCCCCCTAATGGAGCAATTAATGCATTACCTACTCAAAGCTCTCTTCATCAATGAGAGAAACTTTTGAAAGATAGCACTGAAGGAGTAAGGTGCCATTCCATGCACCGCCACGGCCAGACAAGTTGCAGAGTTTTACTGCACAAAGACGTCATGTCTGCCCAAATGGGCTAGATGGAGCTCTTTCGTTATGCTCAGAGCGAAGCCAGGATTTATTTGATGTAGTTCACCAATTTTTGCCCACACAAAAAGGGCAGAAAAAAAGATCTGACCATGTAATGTCATGGACTTCGTTATTCTTCAACGCAGCTGCTTTTTCAAGTCATGTCTGTGTAAAGATATTTTAGCCGACTCTTATTTCTGATTAATATTCATTTTTTTTGCTTTAGAATCTGTGTATCTTTAACGGCTCTTAGTGCAGCAGTACTTCTTTCACAATAGGGAATATTGACGTATTTACCAGGCAGCTATTAGGCCTTCAGCAGTCCTCCCACATTGTTATGCTTTGACGTTGTGACTGGGGTTCGTGTGTAAAACGGAGAGCGTGGCTCACTGAGCCTCGTGGCTAAAGCCTGGCCCTTTGTTTTTCCCTGCAAAATGTTTTTCTCTCGCTCGTAAACACTTGTTACCTCAACGAGTCGGGAGGTGATGTAATAGGTAGAGCGGTGACGCTCGCCGGCCTCCCTCTCCTGCCTCCTCGGGCTGGCAGCAGATGTCCCATGGGAGTTTCCAATCGACAGATACGTTAGCCGCAGATCTACCTTTCAGCTGAAAAACCCACCATGTTCAACATCATATTCAAGCTGCAATCTTAAGGAAAAGGCTCTGCCCTCCTCTTGGTGCTCTTTTGGTTCTTTCCTTCGTTTTTTTTTTCCTTCCCTTCCTTCCTTTTCTTGCTTTCTCTGAATTTCTCTCCCTCATTCTACTCTAACTCAGTTCTCCTGCAGGAGTCATCTTCATCATGACCTCCAGAATCGGCTCTCCCTCCGTCAGCTCTGAGCCCAATGCCCTCCAACCCCTTCTCCCCCGGAATGTCAGTGCCCCCTGTGCCCGAATGCCACCCGTTCAATCACCCAGCCTCCATTCGCTTGCACCAGCCTGGTTGAATATTATGTAAACTGTGGCTATAAATAGCCTTGCCCAGGATCTTTTGTCTTTACCTGCACACTCTTAGTCCAACAGTTTTATTTCTGGAGAGCATGTGGAAGCAGTGCCATGCAGAGGGCCCGTTACCATAGTTACTTGTGTTAGTGAGGAGAGAGAGAGAGGCGCTACATTCTTCGTCGGTTTCCTCAGAAAAGCAGCGATCTGTTTGTTTGAATAGGCTCGTCCCTTTTCACACTGCGATTGAGCTTCAGAAAAGGTGATGAATTCAATGAAAGGGTTTTATTGAATTACCTTCATAGGGCCAACAGTTATGAAGTCTGCTATGCACGGCATTGTGTGTGGCACGGAATGCTTCAGTTCGACATCAATAGGAGGAGACAGACATCAGCGTGAACAAGCCAGTTTTTGAATAAGCAAGCGGTGTTTGTATCCTCGTCTTTATTGGCGATGTAGATTGAGAGAGGAATAAGTTAGCCCCGTCCTCATAAAGAACTCATCATCAAGAATCTCTCATGTACCAGCTGCATCCCCTCGCCACTGTATAAATTAAACTCTCGTTTTGTGCTGAGATCGAGAGCGCTCCGTTTTGTGGTGGTTAGATAACTCCAGGTAGCTGAAGCTGGGCCACGTTTGGCCCGCTGCCTTGCCACCGGAGCTGGGGTTCACTTCGGAGCAGAGGTGGGTTAGGTTGTTTGGTGTGCGGGGGAGTCAGTCAGGTGGTCTGTTGGGGCAGGCCAGGAAAGCGCTTTAGCCCTCCGCAGTCACGATCAGGAAGAGGAGCTCAGCAACAGCCCCTCCCAGCCTGAAAGGCGAAGACGGGCGTACGGGTACAAGAGTGGGCGAGCGGGGTGTATTTCTGGAACACAAGGGAAACCTGCAGCTCTGCGAATGGGGCTTCAGCACTGCATTGGGCTTCCCTAACCCGGCTCCCACACTCTATAGAGATAGAGGAGGGAGTGACAGAGAGACTGCTCCTTCAAAAGAACCACGCTTCCGCTTCTTTTTCTCTCTTTCTTGCTGGGGCTCTTAGTACTGGTATGTAACCGTGTGTGGAAAAAGGCAGAGATGGCTAGGGATTGGAAGGAGAGAAGGGAAAAAAAAGCAATTTGGCAGCTTAGGCGAGTGTCTTGTATTTATAGTGAGTCGTGTTTCCGGCCGAGGTTTCACTGATGGTAGCTCGCCCAATCCTTTTTTGCGGTTTCTTAGAAGCTCTATTGTTCCCTGGGTTTGATGGAGATGAGCCTTCCTCCGGTGCCTTTAGGGGAATCGTAATGTGGGACATGTTGCAGGAATATGATGTGTGTGTGGGTGGGGGGCTATGATTCCTCCTCTGCTGATATAGCTCCAAAAATTCTTTTCTCTTCACTTCATCTTGCACGAAGATGCACACAGCTGTGCGCCAGGGGAAAAAATGCAGGCCCAGTTTCCACCTGGTCTAAATGTACCACCTAAGTAGACATTTGCCATCCTCTTTAGCAGGGAAGAGATTTCTTTTCAAATAGAAATTCTGTTATTTCCACTTAATGAAGCTTGGAACAGCATAGGCATGATCGCAAAACTGCTGCAGGCCAGTGGGACACAGGGGCATCGCTCAGTGACACTGCTTTGCAATCAGGTGTTGTTTTTTTATTTACAGTTACAGTAACCATAGGTACAACTAGGAGAAGCTTCACATTGGATGCAATTATGTAACTCCAGAGTCTTATGTTTAGCACAGAACTAAAATAGTAAAATATACAGCTTTTCTCTGCTATTACACAGACAATTAGTCTGGGCCCAACCAAGAAAGTAACTGTGCTTTAATTGGCTAAAAGGAAAGTTACAAAACAGCCTTCGAGTATCACTTCAACAGGACTTTTCAACAGATGTCTCCCCGAGTCCTACAGGTTCCTACAGCTAGACTTGTGTCCTCTTCTGTCCTGCGAAACAGAGACGCGAGGGTGTCTTTGATTGTGCACTATCAAAAGGTTCAACAGTTCTTTTTCTCGTCTTTACAGTGTTCTGTACTTTGAGGAGACATAGGAAATTATCAGCCTCGAGACTGAGTCGATATCCAGACCAAACTGTGACTCTGCCTTTAACTGTATTATAAACAGTCTAATGCAACCAACTTGGAGGGCACAGTCATAAGAAACACTGACTGTGCTAAAGTACTGTATAGTACGGTGCAGAAGTCAGAGACCACCTTTTATCTGTCTAGTTGCGACAACATTACAAGTTTTTCAGTCAGATTAAAAAGCAGAAAACATATTACATTAAAGTATCATTGAAGCCCAAACAACTTGAAACTACAGTATTTAGTGTGTTACAGCATTTTCATTCTTTTTCAGGAGACTTTCAGTTTTTCTGAGGAAATTTGCAGGGATATTTTTGCACACCTCTAAAGTTCAGTCTTACACATTGGTTGCATTTTCTGCTGCTTGATTCACAGCACTCTGTCCAGCACTCCTAGCCTGCTCTGTCACTCTTACAGAACGAAAATCGGATGAAACCAGTAACCGGATGAAAAAGTCACGGACGAACAGGTAGGCAGACGGATGGATGAAGAAACAGACAAGTGAACAGTGTTCATGTATGGATAAAAGAATGAATGTGCGACAGGCAGCTACAGACAGGTGGATTATCTTGCTACCTTTTGGATATGCTGGGTTAGCTTTAGCTCGCTAAGTTTCTCTGATCCTGAAACTGTTTTGTGTGGCCGAGCAGGACACGTCAGCCTTGTGATTGGTCAGGGGAAAGCTTACGGAAGCGTTGCCCAAGACTTGGACCACCCAGTTTACATTGAGAGGAAAGAAATATGGTGAAATATATCACCCACTTATTGGTCATTGGAACATTATTCAAAGGGTGAACTTAGTACATGTTTACTGTTTATTTGCAAGAACAAGCTTAACCTAATTAGAAAGAAAGCAGATTTAGGTTCCCTGGGTCTTTGAGTACTGTTCATTTGATGAGGACAGTTTTGGTGGTCTATCATATCTTGCACAGTTGTTAGGAATCCCATTTTCTTGTTATCTTTTAATCATTGTGTGACCTTCTTCTTGTTGTTGTCTTAGAAAATTCCATATGCAGGTGTATTATGTTTTATGTGATCTCAGA